CTCAGACCTGCTCCAGGCGGCCGCTCAGCTGCTCCTCCGCCCCGAACAGCAGCTCCTCCAGCCGCTGCACCTCCGCCTCCTCCTGCCCGAGAGCCGCGCACTGCTGCCGGTGCTTCATCTGCCGCTCTCGCCGCTCCTCCAGCGGCCGCTTCCTGCTGCCCACACGCGCGGGAGACTCCATTACTGCCGCAGAAAACTTCTTCTTCTTCTTCCTCGGGTTTTACCAGCGGCTGGCACGCAGAGAACTACAGACCGACCGCTCGGATGTCCACACGTGCACAACAACAGCAGACCAAACACTTCCGCTGCAGGAGGCTCCCTGCGCTCTAGCGCCGCTGCAGGACAGGAAAGAAACTGCGGCCGGAAGAAGAACTTCAGCTGCCCGAATATAACCCGCTCAGAGTGACAGTGCAGGCTAACATGATCAATACTACACCAATAACACTCTTTCACCAGTGTTCTGCTGCTCACGCTGAACCTCTAAGCCTTTATCATATCCTTGTACAGTTCCTGCTGACTTTGAGGGAGATTTCAGGGTTGATCCAGAATGATCTGAGCTGTGAGGATCGCTGACCTGTAATGTTACTGGCTATAGGCTATATAGCACACTCAAACGGCTCCTCTTGCGAAGTGTCTCGTGTAAAGATTATTATTTTATTTTATTATTATATAATGGTTTTTTTTTTTGGGGGGGGGGGGTCACCTTTATTGGACAGGAAAGTGTGGAGTATTGACAGGAGAGCATGGGGAGAGGAGAAGATGAGCACAGGCCGCCAGGCGGGAGTTGAACTGTGAGCTGCCCTGCCCTGTCCACACACTGACCACTACACCACCACAGCCATATCTTCCATAACCCTGCCCTCAATTACAGGAATTAGGAAAGGCAGAACACTGCTGCTGTAGTCCTCCTCCGACAGTATATGAGTTATCTGTGCCCGCACGTTTACTGTAGTCTTAATTCTCATTTATTTTATGATTATTTGGATTAAACTTTATTTAACTTTATCCATCATTATCACAGTAGTGCACACGTGTAGATATAGCGCTCTGTGGTACGGTACGACCGAATCAGACATGAATATGTGCCACACAGCTCTGTGGAAACAAAACAAAAGGTATTTTAAAAAAATAAAAATACAATTATAAAGCCATTGATGAGCTGGAATAATATTATAATAATAATGATAATAATGATGATAATAATAATAATAATAATAATAATAATAATAATGAGCCATTGATGAGCTGTAATAAAGCTCTCCATCTCTCTGACACACAGCTGCTCACCATAAGCAGATCTGTGTGTGTGTGTGTGTAAGAATGTGAATGTATGTGTGAGTGTGTGTGTGTATATATATATATATATGTGTGTGTGTGTGTCCTCTAGTGTACTTGACAAGGGCATCTAAAAGTGTGTGAAGCACCTGTGGCTCTGCTCGGGTCTATTTGTGTGCTGGATCGCTCTGTGTGTGTGTGTGTGTGTGTGTGTGTGTGTGTGTGTGTGTTTACTGCTCTTACTCGTATTGTTCTGTACTCCAGCAGTCTCCTCTGCGCTTCAGCACTGCTTCACCACTTTATTCTCTACATGCACCCGCTCATCAGCACCCTGATCATCACACTCCTCATGTCCTTCCCTGATCCACACAGAGCCAGAACAGACTACACGAAACACACAAGGGGACAGATTTGGAGAGTAAACACACACACACACACACACACACTCATGTTAATGAAGTTTGATCAATCATTATGAAGTGCATTATGGGATGTTGATCTCTGCTCTGTCCACCTCTGATGCTGAAGATTCAGCTCTACAGTTTAACAAGTGACTTTTACAGACATGCAGGTCAATAATATCATGTATAATATCTAGAGGAATGAGTGTGTGAATATCAGTGAATGTGCTGCAGTTTGTTATACGGGGATTCTGTAGCGTAATATACAACACCGACACACACGATTGCACGGCTGACCATCACACATGTGCAGGAAACACACTTATTTTAATATGTTAAACATATTAATAACATCAAGACCCCAGAGTGCAGCTCAGAAGCAGAAATAAGACATAAAAACATGACGCAGATATCCACACAGTAAAGAATGACCGTAAATGGACAGTGAATCACTGCTAATAAGTGCATTACTCTCACAGTAACATACTGCATGTAAATTGACAGTGAATTACCGTGAGGTCGTTTACAGTAATTTGTTGTGATTTTGTTAAATGACTGTGAAATTAATTACAGCCATATAGTGTATACTCCATATAGTGTAAGTTCACAGTAGGTGGTGAAGCGATTTGACGGTGTTATCTTGTAATTAACTGTATTTGCCTGTACAGAAGGATTTCCTCGGCTGCTCATTCTGACTTTACTCTGACTCTGAAATCATTTTGGGTGTTTAACAGTGTTTGGTTTTATGAATCATCTACTTTCATTACAGTTTATAAAGTTGTGCTCATTAAATATTGTTTCATATTTATATGTTAAGCTTATTAAATTAAATAAAGGTGCAGCACATATAAATGAACATTTACTTTGGCATTCATGTCACAAAACAGGAGGATTTTCTTTCCTAATTGTTTTTGGGGGTGCAATAACCTTCTGTGATTTCTAAATATCAAAACTTGCCAAGACTTGCATTAATGTTAATATAATAGATAAAATAATAATAACAAATAAAGAGAGTTTGAATTAATTTAACGAACACACTAAAGATGAAGCCCTTTTACACTGATTTGCTGTCATCATGCTGATTTGATTAACTGCACAATCAAATTCTGAATACAACGCATAACTGTGAAGCTTTACAGTGACATGCTGTAATGTGACTCTAATATACCAGATACTCTAATATCATTTACTGTGAACAATTACAGTGACATGCTGTGAAAATCTGGATTTTCTTTTACAGTGTACAAATGATCAGGAAAACAGTCAGGGAAATCATTCATTCATTCATTTTCTTGTCGGCTTAGTCCCTTTATTAATCTGGGGTCGCCACAGGGGAATGAACCGCCAACTTATCCAGCACGTTTTCACACAGTAGATGCCCTTCCAGCAGCAACCCATCTATGGGAAACATCCACACACACACACACACACACACACACACTATGGACAATTCACCTGTACCACATGTCTTTCTACTGTGGGGGAAACTAGAGCACCTGGAGGAAACCCACGCCAACACGGGGAGAACATGCAAACTCCACACAGAAACACACACTGAGCGGAGGTTTGAACCAGCGACCTTCTTGCTGTGAGTCGACAGCACTACCTACTGCGCAACTGCTTCACTCAGAGGGAAAATAAATGATATTAACAGTTATAATGAAGAAGCATTAATTATAGATGAATATGTTGCTGGATTTCCCCGTTTCTCGCCCTCTGTGACGTCCTGAAAGAGAAATATATTCAGATTTATACAAAGCTGCTTAGTTCATATTTAAAACTATCAATATTCATGATCAGTGGCGATATACACAGCAGTCTTTGAGTTCATGTATGGGTGGAGGGTTATTTACAGTCCAACTTTTCTACTCTCTCCACCCATTCTGTGACTGTTTTCTGTTTATTTATTGTTGTTTACAGGTGACTTATTTATTAATATCTGTGTTTATTATTATCTTTATGTGTTTGTTGAGTGATGTATTGATAATATTCTGTATTTCTTTATATGAGCCGGGCCAGACTGTACATATTAATAGGACAGATTAAAGTGAGCAGGCAGATGAGGTGAGCTTGATTTACTGCTGGTGATCCGCCGTCTGGGTCAGACTCGTTCCTGCTGCAGGCGCACATATGCAGAGCCCACACTCCCATCCAGAGGCCCTGGAGAGCAGCCACGACCCCCCCAGCAGACCTGCGGGTCAGTCCAGCACCGCCTGCGAGTGTCTGAGTCTGGGAGACGGACTCCAGCAGAGGAAGATGAAGATGATGAAGATGATCTGCATGAGGAGCATCACTCCATATCTGCAGTGATCTGCTGCTCGTCCCCGGAGCCGCTCAGCGCTGATCATGTCTCCTGCTGCTGCAGGGCTCTGTGGGCTCTGTCTCGCTCTGCATCTCAGCACATGTGATGTGCATCCGTCTATGTTTAGCTGCTCTCCTTCCCTGGTGTGGAACAGGAGCTGGAGCCGCGGGTCACGCTTTACTGATATTAATAGCAGACCATAGAGATCTGACCTCTTATGGCCTATTATATAATGAGCTTATTAAGCTATTTCTCTGGCTCTGCTCACATCTGAGATGACTGAAGGATCACCACAACACCACAACAGTCCTGACCATCACTGTGTGCTCCGTTACACTGCAGAGCCGAGCCGGCCATCACTTCACACTGACCCCTGCTCAGCATGATCTCCAGCTCTGCTGATGTTCACCCTCACTCCTATTCTGCAGATCACACACACACACACACACACACACACACACACACATACACACACACACACACACACACACACACACACTGACACACACGCACACATACACACACACACTGACACACACACACACAGACACACACACACACACACACACACACACACACACGCATACACACACACACACACACACACACACACACATACACACACACACAGACACACACACACACACACTGACACACACGCACACATACACACATCTGCTCCCCTGCACCCTTTACTGCAGCGTAAACCCTAGCTAGGGCACAAGGTAAAGCTGCAGGTAAAGTGTAGTGTGATTCATCCACCCTCAGACTTACAGACTGCAGAGAGACACTGAAGTATCATGAAGTATCATGTATCAGAGTTCATGAAGAGATCTAAATCAACCACTCACACTGTATGAACAAGAACACTGTGTGTGTGTGTGTGTGTGTGTGTCTGTGTGAGAGTGTGTGCGTGTGTGTGTGTGTGTGTCAGTTTTAGGAGATGTGTGTGATTATGAATTATTATAATCTCATGTTGTGGCCCCGCCCCTTTACAGTATAGGCCCCGCCCCCTCTGCTCAGGCTTTATAAAGCAGCAGCGGTGCTCAGTCTGCATCTGCTCCTCACGCCAGGACTCACTGAAGCGGCTCTGCTCCTCCCTCAGGTGTGTGTGTGTGTGTGTGTGTGTGTCTGGGAAAGATGTATACATACTGTATTTGTGTGTGTGTGCCTGAGAGAGGTGTGCATATATGTGTGTGTCTGGGAAAAGTGTGTGTGAGTGTGTATGTCTTTGTTACGAGTGTGTGTCTGGAAGGGGTGTGTGAGTGTGTGTGTTTCTGTATTTATGTGTGTGTGTCTGTCTCTGTGACAGGTGTCTGTGACAGGTGTGTGTGTGTGTGTGTGTATGTGTGTGTGATCAGTGCTAGTGTGAAACCCTTGTGTTGTAATGACGTGTGTGTGATTCTAACAGTGTTGCTTCAATGATGTGTTCTCCAGCTGTGTGTGTGAATGTGTGTGTGATCTGCTGTTGTGGATCTGATGAAGCAGAGAGTGTTGAGTCGTGTGTGTGTGTGTGTGTGTGTTTGTGTGTGTGTGTGTGTGTGTGTGTGTGTGTGTGTGTGTGTGTGTGTGTGTGTGTGTGTTTGTGTGTGTGTGTGTGTGTGTGTGTGTGTGTGTGATGAACTAACCCTGACTCTGCAGAAGAGGAAGTCTCGTCTGAGGTAAACGATTTAAAGAGGAAACGAGTGTCAGCCGTGAGCAAACACACCGTTAAAGCGGCATGCAGGAGTGTGTGTGTGTGTGTGAATGTGTGAGTGTGTGTTCTACTGCTGAACATCTGCGCTTATTTCTGGACCGAGCGGTGCTTTCATACTGCACACCAAAAAAGACCATGAAACCTGAGGAGACACACACACACACACACACAGTCCTATAAATAAACATGCATTTACACACACACACACACACACACACACACACACACACACACACACACACACACACACACACACACACACACACACACACACACACAGACTGAATGGACTCTTGCGGTCTCCTCAGGAACACTAGCTCAGCTCCCCATCAGGCCAGCGGTGAGGAACACACTCCGCTCAGTGTTGGGGGTCTGCTCTTCAGCTGGGGGGGGTTCAGTAATTCTGCCCTTGTCCATGCCTGATCTAATACACACACACACACACACACACACACACACACACACACACAATCTAATCAATATTTGAGGAAATCTGACCAAACCTTGTGCATGTATTACCCCGCCGGTCCTACGCCACCCAACCCCCCGCTCTGAGCTGGTATCGAACCCTTCCGCATGGGAGTCAGTTGCTCTATAGACCATGGCCTGTAGCGTCTGCTGCTAGAGCAGAGAGGTCAGAGGAGTGAGCTTCACCTGCACAGCACTCACTAGCTGACCTCCGCTACACACGCTGCTGTGAAATGTGTGTGTGTGTGTGTGTGTTCTCACGTGTTTCTTCTTCTCCTGCAGAATCATGGCTGGTAAAACCGAGCGCACCTTCATCGCGGTGAAGCCGGACGGTGTGCAGAGGGGGCTGATGGGAGAAATCATCAAGCGCTTCGAGCAGAAAGGCTTCAGACTGGTGGCCGCCAAGTTTGTGCAGGTCCGTGTGTGTGTGTGAGTGTGTGTGAGTGTGTGTGTGTGTGTGTGTGTGTCCAGCATGTCGTCTCTCTGATGGAGAAATCCCACACTGTGTCCTGCAGATCCTGCAGGCGAGAGAGAGAGAGAGATCTAGCTGATTATAAATGAATTATTGTAATTATTGTATTATTATTTCATTGTTATATATGAATTATATGATATAAATGATATGATATATTATGTATATTGTATTTCATATGTGTATATATTTATTTATTTTCACTACTGTTTACTGTGTTTGTGTTAAATATTGATGTTCTTTTCATTTTATGTAAACTTTATACATTTGTCATGCCCATAAAGCAAATATTGAATTAAGAGAGAGAGGGAGAGAGAGAGAGAGAGAGAGAGAGAGAGAGAGAGAGAGAGAAAGAGAGAGAGAGAGAGAGAGAGAGAGAGAGAGAGAGAGAGAGAGAGAGAGAGAGAGAAAGAGAGAGAGAGAGAGAGAGAGAGAGAGAGAGAGAGAGAAAGAGAGAGAGAGAGAGAGAGAGAGAGAGAGAGAGAGAGAAAGAGAGAGAGAGAGAGAGAGAAAGAGAGAGAGAGAGAGAGAGAGAGAGAGAGAAAGAGAGAGAGAGAGAGTAATGTCAGAGTAAATCACAGTAGTACAGCAGATCAGCAGAGCACTGAAGAGCTCCGACACGTGCAGATGATGAAGATGATGACGAAGGGACACTTTGGCTAAAATTAATACGGAACAAAAATAAAGACTATGCCTATAAACACAGTGTGTGTGTGTGTGTGTGTGTGTGTGTGTGTGTGTGTGTGTGTGTGTGTGTGTGTGTGTGTGTGTGTGACCACAGGCCTCTGAGGACCTGGCAAAGCAGCACTACATCGACCTGAAGGACCAGCCCTTCTATGCCGGACTGGTGAAGTACACTAGCTCTGGACCACTTCTGGCCATGGTGCGTCCCTGTGTGTGTGTGTGTTTGTGTGTGTGCGCGCACATGTGTATATGTGTGTGACGCTCTGCTGCTGTTTCAGGTCTGGGAGGGTCTGAATGTGATTAAGACCGGCCGTGTGATGCTCGGAGAGACCGATCCCTTCGCCTCCAAACCCGGAACCATCAGAGGAGACTTCTGCATTGAAGTCGGCAGGTGAGTGTGTGTGTGTGTGTGTGTGAGTGTGTGAGTGTGTGTGTGTGAGTGTGTGTGTGTGTGTTTCTGACCCTGCTGTGCTGTTCTGCAGGAACCTGATCCACGGCAGTGACTCTGAGAAGAGCGCCGCCACTGAGGTCAGCCTGTGGTTCAAGCCGGAGGAGCTGGTGTCCTACAGGAGCTGCGCACAGGAGTGGATCTACGAGTGAACAGAGACACTTCCAGAACCGTCAGCTGGAGCTCAGAGTCCCTGTTCATCTCATCTGTTCTCAAACACCTGTTGAATAAATCTCTCACACACTCACACACACACAGCAGAACCCCCCCGTGATGCTCAGCTGGACACCCACAGAACTCACACTGATCCTCCAACACAGCTCCGCCACAGTCCAGTGTGTGTGCGTTCACTCTCAACCTGAAACTGGCCTCCTGCCCTGACGCCGCAGAGGGCCGAGTGTGTGTGTGTGCTGAGGCGTGACGATCCATATAAATGATTCATAACTCAATGTTGTGCTGTTGTTCCTCCAGTCTGTCCATCACACACACCTTCACTGTCACATGTCTGAATATCAATCAATCAGTCTCCATTACTCACACACACACACACACATACACACACACACACAAATACACACACACACACACACACACACACACATACACACATACACACACACACTGAGATGTAGACAGTACGCTGGTGTCTCTCCTGCAGCAGTGTCCTCCAGTGTCCTGTTAATGTAGAGACCCGCTATAGCAGACTACACTGAGTGACTGTGCTGTCTCTGCAGAATCACACACTTACACTCACACACACACACACACACACACACACACACACACACACACACACACAGAGTAATCAGTACAGGCAAACACGTACACACACACACACACACACAACACACACAGAGGAATCAGTACAGGCATACTAACACACAAACACACAAAGAGGATTTAGAACATGCAAACACACTCATATAAGTGAATCAGTACAGGTGAACACATATACGCACACCACACACACACACACACACACACACGAACAGTAATAAATACAGGCTAACACACACACACACACACAGAGGAATCAGTACAGGCAAACACACACACATAAGGGAATCAATACAGGTGAACACATACACACACACACACATATAGAGGAATCAGAACAGGTGGACATACAGTGAGTGTAGTGGAGTGTTTATCCGGTGTAGTCGAGTGTTTATCGGGTGTAGTCGAGTGTTTATCAGGTGTAGTCGAGTGTTTATCAGGTGTAGTCGAGTGTTTATCAGGTGTAGTCGAGTGATTATCCGGTGTAGTCAAGTGATTATCGGGTGTAGTCGAGTGTTTATCCGGTGTAGTCGAGTGTTTATACGGTGTAGTCTAGTGTTTATCAGGTGTAGTCGAGTGTTTATCCGGTGTAGTCGAGTGTTTATACGGTGTAGTCGCGTGTTTATCCGGTGTAGTCGAGTGTTTATTATGTGTAGTCGAGTGTTTATCCGGTGTAGTCGAGTGTTTATCCGGTGTAGTCTAGTGTTTATCAGGTGTAGTCGAGTGTTTATCCGGTGTAGTCGAGTGTTTATCCGGTGTAGTCGAGTGTTTATCAGGTGTAGTCGAGTGTTTATCAGGTGTAGTTGAGTGTTTATCAGGTGTAGTCGAGTGTTTATCAGGTGTAGTTGAGTGTTTATCCGGTGTAGTCGAGTGATTATCGGGTGTAGTCGAGTGTTTATCAGGTGTAGTTGAGTGTTTATCAGGTGTAGTCGAGTGTTTATCAGGTGTAGTTGAGTGTTTATCCGGTGTAGTCGAGTGATTATCGGGTGTAGTCGAGTGTTTATCAGGTGTAGTCGAGTGTTTATCAGGTGTAGTCGAGTGTTTATCAGGTGTAGTCGAGTGTTTATCAGGTGTAGTTGAGTGTTTATCAGGTGTAGTCGAGTGTTTATCGGGTGTAGTCAAGGGTTTATCCGGTGTAGTCGAGTGTTTATCGGGTGTAGTCGAGTGTTTATCGGGTGTAGTCGAGTGTTTATCAGGTGTAGTCGAGTGTTTATCAGGTGTAGTCGAGTGTTTATCGGGTGTAGTCGAGTGTTTATCGGGTGTAGTCGAGTGTTTATCTGGTGTAGTCGAGTGTTTATCCGGTGTAGTCGAGTGTTTATCGGGTGTAGTCGAGTGTTTATCAGGTGTAGTCGAGTGTTTATCAGGTGTAGTTGAGTGTTTATCCGGTGTAGTCGAGTGATTATCGGGTGTAGTCGAGTGTTTATCAGGTGTAGTCGAGTGTTTATCAGGTGTAGTTGAGTGTTTATCAGGTGTAGTCGAGTGTTTATCAGGTGTAGTTGAGTGTTTATCAGGTGTAGTCGAGTGTTTATCAGGTGTAGTCGAGTGTTTATCAGGTGTAGTTGAGTGTTTATCAGGTGTAGTCGAGTGTTTATCAGGTGTAGTCGAGTGTTTATCAGGTGTAGTTGAGTGTTTATCAGGTGTAGTCGAGTGTTTATCAGGTGTAGTTGAGTGTTTATCAGGTGTAGTCGAGTGTTTATCAGGTGTAGTCGAGTGTTTATCAGGTGTAGTTGAGTGTTTATCAGGTGTAGTCGAGTGTTTATCGGGTGTAGTCAAGGGTTTATCCGGTGTAGTCGAGTGTTTATCGGGTGTAGTCGAGTGTTTATCGGGTGTAGTCGAGTGTTTATCAGGTGTAGTCGAGTGTTTATCAGGTGTAGTCGAGTGTTTATCGGGTGTAGTCGAGTGTTTATCGGGTGTAGTCGAGTGTTTATCTGGTGTAGTCGAGTGTTTATCCGGTGTAGTCGAGTGTTTATCGGGTGTAGTCGAGTGTTTATCAGGTGTAGTCGAGTGTTTATCAGGTGTAGTCGAGTGTTTATCAGGTGTAGTCGAGTGTTTATCGGGTGTAGTCGAGTGTTTATCAGGTGTAGTCGAGTGTTTATCAGGTGTAGTCGAGTGTTTATCAGGTGTAATCGAGTGTTTATCTGGTGTAGTCGAGGGTTTATCCGGTGTAGTCGAGTGTTTATCGGGTGTAGTCTGTGTTATCTGGTTCACAGTTCGCTCATTAAGTTGTGGTATGCTTCCATCTTTTCTGTAGTGTGAGCTTTAAGGGTGTAGGGATGAATCTTCAGATTGGAACACAGACAGGGTTAGGCTTGTCTTTGGCACTTTCCATTTCTCAAATAAAGGATTTCAGTCAGTGCAAGTGTCATTTATTTGTGTTTTGGTGAACTGATGAAGACACACTGCAGATATTTAAGAAGAGCAGGTATGTCTGTATCTTAATATTAATGAAATGTGCGGATACAGTAGTGGACATTGGGTCCTGTGCCGTGATTTGAGTTTTGAGATCTGATGAGTGATCATGAACTCTTGCTGTGGCTCCGCCCCTTCCGCTGAGGCTTTATAAGGCAGCCGCGGCGGCGCTCGCTCTTCTTCTGCTGCTTCCGCCCGGACGATCAGGATTTACTGAAGCGGCTCTGCTCCTCCATCAGGTGTGTGTGAGTCGGTGTGTTTATGTGTGTGTGGTGTGTATCTCTGACAGATGTACGAGGGTTTTTCGCGCCTCTGTGTGTTTAATGCTGTGCGGTGCCGTGAGCCCGGCAGCGTCTGCGCATGTGCGGCCTGTTTCCTCGTTCTCGTGTTTTCTCGGTTTTTTGTTCTCGGTCGGTCCCGTTACCGTGAGCTCGGCAGCGGCGGGTCCTCGGGCGGCCGCGTGTCTGCAGCTGCTCGGTCTCACGGCTCGGGTCGCGTCGGTATGCGATTGAAATCGGCTGCGCATGCGCCACATCTGTACCCTGCTGCTTTGTTCCGGGATGGAGCGTCACGTGACTGATTCGGCAGGGCTCCGGGTTGCCAGATTGGTGCAGATGCCAGAGATGGAGAACAGCAGTATAGAGCAGTTCAGCACTGCAGCGCTCCTCCACACCTGCTGCATTAATGATCAGTGTTCTGCTCACTGACATCATCCAATCAGCATTCAGCAAACCTTCACTACATCACAGGCGTGTGTGTGTGTGTGTGTGTGTGTGTGTGTGTGTGTGTTCTCACGTGTTTCTTCTTCTCCTGCAGAATCATGTCTGCTAAGACCGAGCGCACCTTCATCGCGGTGAAGCCGGACGGTGTGCAGAGGGGGCTGATGGGAGAAATCATCAAGCGCTTCGAGCAGAAAGGCTTCAGACTGGTGGCCATGAAGTTTCTGCAGGTGTGTGTGCTGATGGTGGATCAGGATGCAGTGGTGATTCTTCCCCCCCCCCCCCCCCCCCCCCCACACACACACACACACACACACACACACACACACCCACCCACCCTCCAGCCCCCAGAAATAAAGATACTATGGTTTATTTTTAAATATAAGAATTGATTTTTTTTTTTAAATAAACATTTACTATATTAGTAATAAATGTAGATGTATTTATTTTTATTAAATATTATTTTCATTTATACAAGTATTATTCTCAGAAAATAACAGAAATCAATCCTAAATGTGTCTGGAAAGCAGTGTGAAGACACATCTGGAGGAATATTCTCAGACGTGTGGCTGAATATGATGATGACGGCTGTGTAGAATATAAATATATCTGTTATAGAGGGCTCTGTGCTCTCAGACCCGACTCATGGCTGAGTTAGGGTTACAGTCGTCTTGGTTAATCGTGTTTATGACCTCATCATATGATATAGGGCTGCTCAATTTTATTTTATTTATTTTTTTGGTCAGAATTGTGATCACGATTATTCAAAACGATTATCTACTATTTTAACACCTCTATATTATTAGCCTCTTTTATTTTGATTATCTGCAGAAGAAACTACTGTTGTAAGTCCCTGTACGCTGAACACCAGTGTCTTGAAGAACATCTGGTCTAATATAATGTGCTGTCATCATAGCAAAGATAAGACAGCAGTTATTAGAGGAGTTCTTAAATGTGTCGTGTTTAAACTGCTTTAAGCTTCACTGTGAAACACTCTTCAGCTCCAGCAGTCAGTCAGTTCAGTCAGGAGCAGTGAGGGATTTCTCCTGTTTGATTAATGAAAGCAGCAGGAATATTGTGCGCTGTCTCTTTAAGAACAGTGCGGCTCTGATATGGCTTTTGATTCTCAACTCGTCTGTTTATTACACAAATGAGGGTTAATATGAATATTCACTAAACACCGCGCTCTGACACTGATGTACTTGACCATTAAAGTGCTCGCATAAAGATGTGTGTGTGTGACTGACCGTCTCTCTCTCTGACTGCAGGCCTCTGAGGATCTCCTGAAGCAGCACTACATTGACCTGAAGGACCGGCCATTTTACCCCGGACTGGTGAAGTACATGAGCTCTGGACCTGTTCTGGCCATGGTGCGTCACAACACACACACACACACACACACACACACACACACACACGGGTCACTCCTGTAGCATTGGATGGGGATGTTGAATCAAACCCCGCCCACTTTTAAAGCAGCCAGTCATCGGCCGGTATAGACTAAGGATGCTCTGGGGGCGGGGCTCAGAGCAGCCGGCAGCAGCTTCATTATGAACCCTCCGGTCTACACACACACACACACACACACACACACACACACACACGATGATGATGATGATGGTGTAACGCTGGGAAGCGGCCACTTTCGATCTCGTCTGCTTGGAGTGTGCATCAGTCCGGGCTTCTGGTTTGGTTTTGAACACCGAGTCCTATCTTCAGACTCCGTCATTTCTCATGTCATCCGACTCTAGCTTCACCAACAGTCCTGGCCAACTGCAGATTCCTCATCCAGACAGAAATACTGTTCATAGATGGCAGACGAGTGATGGGACCTTCCTTAAAGTGTGTGTGTGTGTGTGTGTGTGTGTGTGTGTGATGTTCTGCTGCTGTTTCAGGTCTGGGAGGGTCTGAATGTGGTGAAGACCGGGCGAGTGATGCTCGGAGAGACCAACCCTGCAGACTCCAAACCCGGAACCATCAGGGGAGACTTCTGCATTGAAGTGGGCAGGTGTGTGTACGCGCGCACGTGCGAGAGATGGGGAGGGTGTGTGTGTGTGTGTGTGTGTGTGTGTGTGTGTGATGGGGAGGGAGAGTGTGTGTGTATAATATGCGTGTGTGTGAGTGTAACCGTGTGCTGCTCTGCAGGAACATCATCCACGGCAGTGACTCTGTGGACAGCGCTAACACTGAGATCAGCCTGTGGTTCAAGCCGGAGGAGCTGGTGTCCTTCAAGAGCTGCGCACAGCAGTGGATCTACGAGTGAACAGACGGAGATCCAGACGGGTTCTGTTCTGTTCTGTGCCCTTATGCTGGAGCTCCCTCCTGAAGTGTCTTCATTTCATCTCGTCTTTTCTCAAGCACTTGTTCAATAAATGCTGAAGTTTGAGAGCCGTGTTGAGTCCGTCATTACTGTGTTCAGTGTTTCCTCCACACACTCAGAGTAATGCAGACCTGACCATCAAAAGGGCAGAAGTGAGATAAAAGCTTTATATATATATAATCAAAACACCCATCTGTGAGCTCGTTTGTCCAGTTTACGGTGTACTGTCATAGATATACACTAGATATCACATACGGACCCTGAGCATGCGTCAATAGTGCCGCCATATTTATACAGTGCTCCCAGCACAGATGTTCAGCCACACTAGTCAAGACCGTGTTACTAAATGAAGATGCTGCATTTCAGGCGCTGTTTACAGGTGTAGTAACGAGCAAACAAAGCACACAGACAGACCCTTTCAGAGATAAGATTTAGTTTCTTGCGTTATTGTGTGCGTGTTATGAACTTTGTGCTAAACGGGTCGCATTATTGATGATAATACAGTCACTACTGCATTCACCATAAGAAAAAGCAGCAGCAACTCGCACTAAACACTGCTTATGCTAATTTTGTTGAAGAAAATCAGCAAACAATACAAAAGAAATATGACATTAGATGCTGCGCTGTCAGAAACTTGTTGGCTAGTGAAGGAGTCGCTCATAACGGAGATTCATTCACAGACGAACCCGCTGCCCCTGCCAGTGAAAGCAGGGGGAGGAGATGGGGGGGGGGAGAACATTTCCATACACAAGCTTTTTGTCATAATTATCATTCAATGTAGAAAAGTGACGCAAAATTATGATTTTCGTAATTAAGGAAAACACACTGACCTCCGGGAAAACTCCTGATCATAGATATATGCGTGTATCTCTGGCTCTGGATGGCCACAGTCAGTCCTCCACTGCAGCTTGGTCCCGCATTCCCTGTACTAAAATGGCGGCTCTATTGACACATTCCTTACAAAAGACAACAACAGGGTAGGCGACATCTAATGTATATATCTATGGTGTACCGCACAATAATGACAGCACAGGGGAGGAGGTCGCCCTCTGCCGGCTGCTGGACACACTGCACCCTGTGTGTGTGTGTGTGTGTGTGTGTGTGTGTGTTCTTGTTTTTATATCCCGGTGGGGACTTAAACCTGAATGCACACCGCCTCATGGGGACTCATGTCACCGTGGGGACCTAAATTGAGGTCCCCACGGGCAAAGCCTCACTAGCCCCTCCCAAATGGTGTTAGAACACACCCCATGCATTTTCTCTAATGTCCTCTTGGGGATCATTTTCAAGAGAATATTCTGTGTGACTGTGTATCTATGCGCCCCTGGGGGTCACACAGAATATTGCAGTCCCCACCACTTCATTGTTCTGGAAAAGTGTGTCACTTTGTCTCCACTCTATAGCGCCCCCTTTCTTGTCTTCAATTATTACATTAACTGTTGATGGACCAGCATAAAAACTATTTAATACATTACATTACAAGGCATCAACTGATTAGAATATATTAGATATGTTAAAAAATTATGCTCTTTATGCAATTTATTGTAGATCTAACAACAGATTCCAAATATCCATTATGTGTTCAGGATATAAATATCCATTATTGATAAATAAATCAAAAGGAGCATAGCCAGTATTTCACTCTTGTATTAATACATTACCAGTTAAGGTTAAAATATTTTAGTGTGGTTTATTGTAATACTCAGTTCATATGCAATGGTATTACTGTATGCATCTATATTTAAAAAACTAAAGTTTGGCTTTGCCTAGATTAGCCTACATTTTATTAAAATAAACACAGGGTTTATTTCTTCCTTCAGACTTTAATGAGAAAATCACTATTGATTGTAAATGAGAACACAGAGAACAGACTTGTGTCCTTATGGAGACCTATAGCCAGGTTAGCTTGGAAGAATGAATGATGCGAGAACACAGAACATAAACAGAATATATCTGGCCCGGCTGAACCATGTTACTAATAAACATGGGTCAAAAAATTCAGTTTTGACCTACTGTTAGGTTGAATTGGTCGGCTACAGTAGGCTACATCTGTCTTTGTGAAGTTTAAGCATGTGAACAATATGAAATAAATAGATCTGAATAAAGTTTAAAAACCTGTTCCAGCATCAAGACAGGGCTGCTATAGGGAATGAGCAAGTATAGGGGCAATGGCTGATTCAAGCATGCTATAGTGTCTGCGTTACACAAGGAGCAGCAAAAAGGCCAAAGTGCAGGACCGGTCATCACAGTACACAAGTTTTAGCTTAGTCCTTTTAGCAGAGCTGTCAATGGATATAGCATCTGCTTCAAGAGGGCCAGTACTTCTTACATCAGGTGCCTGGACATGATGGGCTTCTGCCATAAACATAGCAGCACATTGACTTCTGTGATTCCAAATGTTAAATGTCTACAGGGACCAAATCGTTATGGTTTTTTACCCTCACAAGGGTTACATAAATCCTGGAAATAATGAACAATGTCTCTTTATCACAATAGTCTATGGGAATTTACATGTACAGTAGATTTACATACATAAAACATTTTATTTCTAAGTTAAGGATTTCTGTATATTCTTTCAAGAATTATGGGAGTATTAAATTATGGAAGACACTTTTATGCCATCCTAAAGGTGGATCTAGCTTAAGAGAAGGCAGTAGCAACAGAAGTGCTGACATGGTTTCAGACCTTGTCTAGAACATTACAACTAAGTGTGAAAAGAGAGATAGTTTGCTTTTATTTTAAGGATGCCGTTAATGAGCTTCAAAATTAATACAGACTGTTTCTCAGGACATCAAGGAGAACAACAGCTCTGAATCACTTTCTGTTCTGTTTTACACCTTTCATTTCAATCACTTCTAAGTATCTAAGTAAACTGTGCATTTTAATAACTAAACTAGCAGGAAGAATCAGGTTCATGGACCTACAGTATGAGGCCATCTTTAGATGTCAGCTCTCTCCCTCCACACAGTAAAGTGTAGATAGGATACAAGGCCGGCCGGAACTGCAAATACACATCAATACAGAAGCATTTTTTATGACACTGTATAACAATAATTTATATTTTTACAGTACTGTGACGGTTAGGGTGGTTGTAGACATTAATGAAATACTATTTATTGGGTAATTTAATAGATAATATAAATCATATTCGTTAACTTCCGGCCACAAACGTATCTGATCCAGCAACAACCCCTCCACACTCTTGCTTCACTCGCTCTGCTGCTAGACTCTCTTTAAGAGCAGTGTAGGTGCTGTGAGGCTCTCTGGAGCTACCATCACGTAAGCTATTATACCTGCTCAGGAATATTCCCACAAACCATTTCATTTTGCCACACTTTCTATTAGATAGGCCTGTGATGTGCTGGTATCAGTAGTTGAAGATGAACAAACCATTTTAAGGGCCTTGCATTTATTTAGGCCTGTTTGCCTTAAAGAATACCATAAAGATGTAGTTAGATGGTATTACATGCTCATATTAAATTGACTGGACATATTAAAGAGTTTTGATAATGATGTTCAGATAAGTTGCAATAAACAGTAGTTTATTCCCTTTTAATAATAAAGTAATGGATGTATGTAGGTGTGCATGGTCAATGCATCACATCTAATACATTTATGTGGTCCAAAATGTTAAATTACCAAATGTTGGTATTATAATAAAACATAATGGACACATAATGGCAGTTTATTCCGCTATGGCGACCCCAATCAGGGACTAAACATGAATGAATGAATGAATGGAAACATAATAAAACACATGTTGTATTATTTACACCCTGACAGCAGGATTGAATGCCTTTATTTATTACAAGTGTTTGTAATAGTTAATGAAATTTTTTTTGTGAATTATTTAATAGTTCTAAATGGGATCCATTTATTTATGTGTTGTCAGAATACAGCATTTAATAATAAGGGGGTTCTTTGTATCTTAATTATAACTTTTTTTTCGTTAAGCTATTAAAATTCCCTTTAACCATAATGCATTTATTTAGTTAGAGCAAATATGTTCGGGTAATAAGCTGAATAATTTCGAGTAAAAGTTCGACTGACACATTAGAGCTGTCAGTGCTGGATTGCTGCTGAAGGCCATCCGCTGTGTATGCATGCGCCAGACCGCGGTTCAGTCGGCGACCCGCGCTAAAGCAGCGCGGGAGTGTGACATTACACGTGACCGGAGATTTTGCGTCCCCACCGCGACCATCCCCTCCCCCCCACACACACACCTGCGACACAGCAGGACAGGGTCAGAGAGGATGCTGTGAGTAAAGGCGCGAAGACGTCAACATGTCTGAAGGACAGGTAAGTTTATGATTTGTACGATCACTTCAATATATGCGAATGTTTATGTTTATGTATTGTTTGCAACTATATTATATCATAAAAATCGCGTTATTTTATGTCTCAAGCGCTTTTGATAATCGGCATAATCTCGAAGCTGCTTTGCAGAAAGTACAGATTAATGTATCAAACTGACAATAATATTAGTTAGGGTAACTTTAACTGTAACGTTAAAGTTAGATTCTTACGATCGCGTTTTAAGCCAAACGCTGGAATTGCTAAGAGATTTTGCAATTTAACTGTACATTAAACGTTTATTGTATTTGCGTACATTTACGTATAATCTTCGTTTACTTTTGAAATATTGTTTGAATTCATGTTCTTGCCAGACTGCATATTTTTACCAAGATGTTTTGATCATTGTTGTTATTGTTAACGTTAGCGGCCTGCACGTGCAGCAGGCCTCTGGCAAGGCAAAATCTATTTACTTTATCCACAAAAATAGGAATGTTGTTCTTCAGTAATGCAAGAGACAATTTAAATTAATTCAGTACAATATTTCTAGTTTTATAAGGGAGTTTTCTAGATTAAAAAAATGCTAATTTTCAGTCAAATGTCATGAATATGTCTAGTCTTATTTCACAGTGTTGAATATTTAATTATTGTCAAATTATACTACAGTATTGCAGTTGTAATGACAGTATAAGGTAATGTTAGAGCATGATGTTTGACTGATTATCACACTTGTGCTTGCAGGACGATAAAAGTGACAGATACTCTGGATGCACAGGTAAAGTTAAGATCATGAATTGTCCTGTTAGCTAGTACTCAAAATAATCCTTACATATAAGAATCATACTCCACTTTTTGAGCCAGACTAACCTGAGTTTAACTTTGTTAGAGCACAACCTTTAAAAAAAAGAAATATCCAGCATAATCGTGCATTATTTTAATGGTTAACTAAACATAGACATTATTTTTAAGTGTTCTGTGTGTTGTTGATAAGGCTTTTGCTAAGTCTTCTGGATTTGTTATCCTATAGTGATATTTATTTTAAGGGTTTTAGAACTGTAACTAGTACAAGGAAACAAACCAAAAATGTATTGAAGTTTTACTGAAAGGAATGTTTTACTTTAGTATGAACAGCCATATTGGCATTGTTCATTGTCAACCTGAATAACATTCCTGTCATCTGTGACAGAATTTGCAGTGGATGAGGTGACAGCTTGTGCTAAAGAAGAGACAAAGGTAAGCAGCCACTAGTGATTCATAGAACTGTATTTTTCAACATCTAAACTCTCCAAAGCCATCACAAGTCATTAGCCGCATTTCTATGGAGCTAGATTTGTTTTTTTATTATTCAATCAAAAATATTTAGTTTTAAAGTAAAATTAAGTATGTTGTAATTAAAAAATTAAAGATTTCAAATAAAAAACACGTTTAATTTAAAAAAATTGGCCAATGATAATAAAATATTTTGGATTGCAAAAATAAACACTTGTGCTATTATGCAGTTACCACAATTTTCATTGCATACTCATTAATTTTGCTCTCTTTTCTGCTGTCTTTTATTGCACATGTAGAATCTTTGCTTGCAGGTTGAAATATTTTGCTTGTGAGTTGAAAAGTTTTGAACCCTTAAATGCCGGGGTTAAATTTGTGTCTTTATTACTCAAACAAACATATGAAGTTTGACCAAAACTAGGTAGAATGCAATTAAAAAATTAAAGATTTAAAATAATAAAAAAACATTTATTTAAAAAAATTCACACTGCAAAAAATAAACTATTGCCATGTTATGCGGTTACCACCAGATTAATGCACTGTGTGCTCATTTATTTTGCTTTCGGTTTTGTTTAATTTTTTGCGAATCTAAAATTTTTGCTTTTGAGTTGAAAAGTTTTGTGAGTTGAAAACTGCAGCTCAGTGGGCGGGATCTTCTGAAACACCTTATTCTATTAGTCATCTTGATTGAGGTCACAGATTGGCCACGCCCATTACATTTTCACGCGGTTGGAATGGACTGCCTTGCCTTCTGTGACAGGAGCGAGCTATGGCGAGCAGCAGGTCTTCTTTAAGGTAGGTTAACTGAAACTGTATAATATCTTGTGTATTACCATACATATTTCCCATCTAAATATGTTACGACTGCTAGTATTAAACTCTGTCTAGTCAGATTAGCTGTAAGTCCACCAATATAATCTGGATGCAGATGCGATGGAGAACACAGTTGTGCACGTCTCAGCTGTGCACATACTTTTGAACACATGTATTGTTTTATTTATATATATATATATATATATATATATATATATATATATATATATATATATATATATATATATATATATATATATATATATCTTATATCTCTAATATATATATATATATATCTTGCACATATTTCATCTAATGTTAGTCAATCGAGAGTATTCATCAATATCACTGACTAGACAGAGTTTAGGAAAATGTGGATGGTAATATACAAGTTATTATACTTACCTTGAAGAAGACCTGTTGCTCGCTCTGGTCACTAAAGGAGTCCAGTACAATCGCGTGAAAACGTAATATATATATACATGAGATGGACTGTAAACTCATTTTTAAAAGGTAGATTTAGGTCGCTGCCACGATTTTATGTTAAATTATAGCTGACAGGCATTTTTTAACATCCCTACTACTACTGTATTATTACTTAAACCGTATACCGTATAAAAAATACGTATATGTTGGCAAATGCACTACTAAATAAATGTATCTTCTACACATATCTTCCACATAAAAATATAATTTATACAGACACATGCTATAGTGCTTTACTATACTGCAGTAAAGTGTATTATACCATTTATGTAACAGTATTTTTGTTATTAAAAGCTACAGCTGGGAAATATTTTAGCTGAATTAATAAAATAAAATAAAACATTTATATTTCTTCAATGCAAAATAAATTCCAGAAAGGGAAACAATAAATGTATAAAAAATATATTTAAAATCACTTATAAAAAGTCAAAATCTACTATTGTCCAAATCCGACACAATTCCAGAAAATAATTCAACACACATCAGGTGGTGATTGAAGAGTTTAGTGAATAAATGTCTGGTCAGTCAGTGCAGATGTTGATGTCTAAGTAGACAATGCAGATGGAGACGCCTGTGGAATCATTGTGGATGTTGATTCGTTGATTTAAGACAGTGTAGATGTAAACGTCTGTGAAGTCAGCGCAGATGTGGACATTGGAGGAGTCAAAGCAGATGTTTTACGCCCGCTAAGACTGAGTGATCAACCTGTAAGGATAAATTGAAGAAACAGATGAGAAAATTGTTCTGATTAATGTAATATTTATAATCCACATATCTCTCGTGTCTATGTATTGTTGTTTTATAAATACATTTTTACTTTACAACTGATTTATACCAGTTCCTTTAAAGACCAAATATTTGCAATAATGCCTAAACAAATTATATAGCGAAGATCACCTGCAAACTGCCCTGTTACTTTTCAAAACGACTTCAACATTGTATATTGTGTTACTAACATTTGCAAACTCTTTACTAACATGGTTTATCACTCAGTAACTGAGCATTTTTTAAGGAAATCAGAAAGCTTATTATGAAGTGTGCACCTCTCCAACGTTAATTCTTTACTAACATAATTGTTCCTGATATATATATATCCAGTAAAATCATTAATTACTGCTTTGTAATAAACCCAAAGATGTTAGTAACACATCAGTTATAATGTTGGGTTAGTGGTAAGTCAGTTTACAAATGTAGCGTGTTGAAGTAGTGCACATTTTACAACAATGTTCCTAATTCCCTCAACTAATGCTTTGCTAGAGATAAATCATGTTAGTAAAAAGTCTACAAACATGAATGACATGCCTGTTGAACAATGTGAGCTGTTCAGTATTTGCTGCATTAAGTAACATTGCTATTTGTATAAGTTTCCGTTAACAAAAATGTAGTATTACTGAATAAATGCTGTTTATTTAGTTATGTTATCTAGTCAGTGAACAAATACATTATTGTATTTGTCCATAAACATTGGCTAATTGCATCAAGCTGTTAATATAAGGAGATACAATAGAACATGACTAAGTTAACGTTACCAAAGTTTATGCTAAACAAACTCGTTCACCATCATTTTTTAACTTATGCATTAATATGTTTAGTTAACATTAACAAAGATTAATTATTGCTTAACAGATATCCTGTTCATAATTAATTCAAGTTAACTAATGTATGAACTAACATTTATATGCGAAACGAAATATACGAAATAAATATTTGTCACGTTTGTAATGAAATATACATACACTGAGTTACTACATTTTCTAACAGTGGAGAATAAATATGATGCTCCAGTTCAAAGAGACAGTAGCTTTTGTCTGGAAACTGACTGAAGATTAATGGTTGCCGAGAATGTATCCCAGTCTGTTTGCAGACCTACTGTACACCTGGCCATCATCTACAGACAAAAAGCCTGACTTTAATAATACATCAATGTATATTTTCCAAAATACACTGGCCTTGCGTTGCCCTTTACAACTGTACAGTACTGATGGCCGACAGCTAATGTTAGTTTATCGAGAGAATTCAAAAATATCACTGACTAGACAGAGTTTAATACTAGCAGTCGTAACATATTTAGATGGGAAATATGTATGGTAATACACAAGTTATTATACAGTTTCAGTTAACCTACCTTGAAGAAGACCTGCTGCTCGCCATAGCTCGCTCCTGTCACAGAAGGCAAGGCAGTCCATTCCAACCGCGTGAAAATGTAATGGGCGTGGCCAATCTGTGACCTCAATCAAGATGACTAATAGAATAAGGTGTTTCAGAAGATCCCGCCCACTGAGCTGCAGTTTTCAACTCACAAAACTTTTCAACTCAAAAGCAAAAATTTTAGATTCGCAAAAAATTAAACAAAACCGAAAGCAAAATGAATGAGCACACAGTGCATTAATCTGGTGGTAACCGCATAACATGGCAATAGTTTATTTTTTGCAGTGTGAATTTTTTTAAATAAATGTTTTTTTATTATTTCAAATCTTTAATTTTTTAATTGCATTCTACCTAGTTTTGGTCAAACTTCATATGTTTGTTTGAGTAATAAAGACACAAATTTAACCCCGGCATTTAAGGGTTCAAAACTTTTCAACTCACAAGCAAAATCTTTCAACCTGCAAGCAAAGATTCTACATGTGCAATAAAAGACAGCAGAAAAGAGAGCAAAATTAATGAGTATGCAATGAAAATTGTGGTAACTGCATAATAGGACAAGTGTTTATTTTTGCAATCCAAAATATTTTATTATCATTGGCCAATTTTTTTAAATTAAACGTGTTTTTTATTTGAAATCTTTAATTCTTTAATTACAACATACTTAATTTTACTTTAAAACTAAATATTTTTGATTGAATAATAAAGAAACAAATCTAGCTCCATACATTTCCACTGTTGGGCTAGTGCGAGCCAGGGCTTTTATCGGGCCGGGCTGAGCCAATAGTCAGAGAGCTTGAGCAGTGAGGCTGAAATTATGTCGCGTTTCCACTGTCAGGCCAATGACTCGCAGTGCAGAATGCGAACCTATTAAATGCATTAAATGATGTATACGCATAGGCCTATGTATATTTATTCATTATATTAGTTTACTCGCTGGCCGACTGCTGGCATCGTGCATCGAGTGGTCTCGCCACTAACAGAGGGATGACCGAGCGCACCAGCCATAATATAAAACAAGAAGAAGGTAGTTTTGCTTTCGCTCACCCAAAAATGCTCTGTTTGCACGATTTGATTAATATCATCATCTCCAAATACTTTATAAATAATATTTCAAAACTCCTCCATTGTTTATTGTTTTTAGAAAATATATTTTTTTCCAGATAGGCCTTTGTAAAATGAAAGTTAAAAATGGCTTGAAACCGTTTAATTTATTTGTATTATATATACCTAAATTGATATAGCTTTTATTTTATATTGGTTTATTTATTTAATGTTTTTATTATATACAATATTTCTTTAAATTAATTTAATATAGCTTAGGCTATTTTGTCTAGATGTAATATGATATTATTGTGTTGAGTTGATACGTAATTTGTACGTAACAGCAGCAACGTATGTACGTAACATATTTTATATTATCTCCAAAATAAATATACCCAGCCGTTCACAGCATCTGCAGAGCAGTGAAGTGAGCACTCGTTCGTCGATCTCTCACACACACATACACGCATTTAAATATTTTTTATATGAAGGCGTATACAAAAACTTTAAATGAGGAACGCGAGAAAATTTATTTTTTGATTTCAAAGTGTAAAACAAAGGTTAGTTGTGTTAAATGATTTAATTTGATTGGTGAGTCTTATGTTAAGTATGATTTGTGTTTTCACCATGCCATCAAAACTTGTTATTTTCAGTTTGCAGTGCTCTCTAGTCAGCAATTGGCCCCCAAATTTGGTAGTGTGTTAGCATGCACTAGAGCACCTGTGCCAGATTTCAGCACTGTGTTTAGTATGCAGTCTAGACAGTGAGCCACAGTTATAGTTTACCCCAAAAATTGTATTTGTTTTCTATTTACTTAGCCTCAAAAGGTTGAAAACACAGTTTTTTCTTTTTAGCACAAAATAAGATATATATTTTTAAAATGTTACAAACTGGTAGCCTGTCATGACTACCAGCGATTCAGTGGCTGCAGATATACACATAATTTTAAGATGTCGTTGGTCTTGTCACTTCTGATTTCTAACTTGTGGCTTTTATTTGTAGCTTAACAAGAAAATACTTGGTTATGCTTCAGAAGAATCTTCATCAAGATCAGATATCAGTGAGGATGATTACGTGCCAGATACTGAAGAGTCTGACAGTAACACTTCAGAAAAAGTAGAGAGTTTAGTAAAAAAGATAAGTAATAATAAGAAAAAGGTAAAGTCAACTTCAAATGTTCCAGCATGTAAAAAAAGACGTGCGTCTCCTTCACAATCCTCTGCATCTGACAAACAGGACAGTTCACTTCAATCTTCTTCATCAGGAGAACATGAAGAATCACATTCACCCAATAATCTTAATGTGAATGTCATGATGCTCAAAAAAAAAAAAGATGGAGCCAGACTATATAACAAAAAGTTTTACTGCCTTTTCTGCTTCAAACCATTCAGTAAAATCGCACGTCACCTAGAGTCTAAACATAAAGATAAGCCAGAGGTGGCAAGAGCGATTGCTTTTCCGAAAGGCTCTAAAGAGCGAAAAATACAGCTGAGTTTGTTAAGGAATAAGGGGAACCGATGTCATAACGCTCAGGTACTCAGTGAAGGAAGAGGAACGGTGATTCCTAAACAACAATCCACTGCACCAGTAAATGCAAGTGATTATTTGCACTGCATTAACTGTTCAGCGTATCTGAAGAGAAAATCGCTATGGCGGCATATGCAAAGATGCCAGCTGAGCCAGAAAATTAACAAAATGAAACCAGGGAAAACTCGTGTTCAGTCACTTTGCTCATATGCTGAACCTGTTCCAGACAGTATAAGTGAAAGGTTTTGGAAAATGGTGCTTGATATGCATGACGATGAGATAACCCATGTTGTCCGCAAAGAGAAAATCATACTGAAATTAGGGCAACATCTCTTCAATAAGCATGGCCATGATGTTACAAAGCATGAATACATCAGGCAAAAAATGCGTGAAACTGGACGTCTTGTCCTCGAAGGGAAAAAAAATGGTAAGCTGAAGGAGGTGTCTGATTTCTTTATTCCAGCTAATTTCCCTTATGTTATTCAAGCAGTTCACAGTGTAGCTGGCTTGAACGAAGAGACAAGCACATTTAAAACACCATCTTTAGCACTGAAGTTAGGGCACAACCTCAAGAAGATGGCCAGCATTATTGAGTGTGATGCCATGATGGCAGATGATAAGAATAGTCTTAGCAACGTGCAAGCCTTCAAGCAAATATGTGACACTAAATGGAGTGAGTGTGTGTCATCCCAGGCCCTTCGTAATTTGAGTGAAGTTAAATGGAACTGTCCACAGCTTCTTCCGTTTGCGGAAGATGTGAAGAAAATGCATCAGTATCTTGACTGCCAAAGTAAGGCATATCAAGCAAGACTTGAGGAAGAACAAAGTATGAAGCACTGGGCAGAACTTGCCAAAGTCACGCTTTGTCAGGTGATACTATTTAATCGAAGAAGGGAAGGAGAGGTGTCTAAGATGTCACTTAATTCGTTTACATTAAGGGACACATCCTCAACTCATCCGGATGTTGAGCTTGCTCTGTCCGATCTAGAGAAGTCACTTTGTAGTCATTTTCAAAGAATCGAAGTCCGAGGAAAACGTGGCAGAAAAGTCCCCATTTTACTCACTCCTGATATGGTCGTCTCAATGGAGTTGTTGGTGAAGACTCGCCGCAGCTGTGATGTGCCAGATGAGAACGTCTTTATGTTCGGAAGACCCCAAGCTCTCACTTTCTTCAGAGGATCTGACGTAATTCGTAACATAGCAAAAAGCTGTGGAGCAAAGCACCCCGAGGCATTGTCCTCCACCAAACTGCGAAAGCACATGGCCACTATGTCCAAGGTGCTAAACTTAAAAGAGAATGAAATGGATAACCTCGCAGATTTTTTAGGGCATGACATCAGGGTCCACAGGCAATATTACAGACTTCCTGAAGGCACATTGCAGCTAGCAAAAATTAGCAAAGTCTTGATGGCCATGGAACGAGGACAGCTTTCACAGTTTAAAGGACAGAATTTGGATGAAATCCAGATTGATCCCCAAGGTAAAGTATTCCCGGGTTATTACCGGGAACACCAGCATTAGTTATAGACAATTGTTGAATGTTATTCAAAAGTTGTTGCCTAATAATTTTGTCTGTTATAGAGAAACTTTTGCTGGACAGTGATGGATCCGAGTCTGAAAATGAGATTGAGTCAACTGGAAATGGTGCCTCACCTTCAAATTCAGCAGGTACTGTATGTGTAATGTGTGTTATTTGTTTTGTGCTTAGCAAGGAATAATGACCACAAACATAGTAAAATAAAAGCAAATGTATGGTTTATTGTCATGTATTGTCAGTGTTAAGGCTTGTACATGTCATGGAAGAAAAGTGAAATGAAACTCAGGATTAAATCATGTTTGCTACTCTCCATAATAATGTCCTCCTGCTGACATTGTTGTTGCTGTTGTGTTTATCATACAGCTCTTGGTGTTTAGACACCAGTGAAAAATGCAGCTCCACAGTCATCTTTCCTCTGTGCATTATCTTCATTGCATGAAAGTGAAAGTGTGTTCGCCTAAACATGGAGGATATCACTTCTGCTGTTTACACACATCATTCACTTTTCTTTTCAGCTTGCTTTTAGTCCCGAAAAAAAACATTAAGGACAACATATTCTTAAAGCACACAGCACAATAAGTGACAATTAAAATTATTATTTTAAACATTCTCATTAGTTATGATCTTATTAAATTCTCAATGTTCTTCAACTGAAGGGAAATGATGGGAAAGGTGGAAAATGGTACACATTACTTGGGAAAAAAAACTGGGTGTCATTGCTGTAGTCATGCACACAGTGAGACTGGAGACAGGATAAATCAAGAGACCAGGGGCCTCATGTACGAAGACTTGCGTGGAAATCATACTAAAACACAGAAAAAAATTCAGATGTATGAAACACTGCGTACGCCAAATCTCGCGCATATTCTGTTTGTACATCTGAATGAACGTGAAACTGAGCGCAACATGCACGAGAACAAAACCCCTCCCTGCCTCCTCCCCCGTATGAATATGCTAATGACTCTACTTTGGCAAAACCCAACGAAAAAGTAACGGCAAAATGAAGCAAAAAGAGGAACTTTGAACAGAATGTGAATGTGAGGTGCTGTTTTCGGAGGTAGACCAGAGAAAAACTGTTTTATTTGCAAGTTTGTCCTCCAGAATTAATAACAAAAGAAAAAAATAGAGTGGGAGAGTTTAGCTGATGCGGTTAACAAAGTTAGGTCTGAACATCGCACTGAGTGGAGCAGGTAATCATTATTGGCCTGTTGCTTATTTTAGAGTCTTTGTGTGCAGGTAGTGGTATTAATCTAGGAGAACACAGAAAACAATGAGACCAGGAGACAAAGGCACCAGGACACAAAGAACCAACAACAGCAAACAGGTAAGTAGCAATGGGTGAGTCAGGTAAGTTCATTGGTGTGAACCGTAGATCAAACTCTGGGTAAGAGCAGAGTGACTGTTAATAAAAGGAACTGATGAGGGAGCGCAGAGGTGCGATAAAAATGTAAGCAGGGGATTTTGATCGGATTGATTAGGATTCAGGTGGGGAAGGTGGCTGTGGTGACTGCCTGAGATTACAGTCTTCTCCAGAGGAGGCTCCTGATACCCTTATGTGATGTTGGGGACGGATGGAGCTGATGACATCTTTGGCCACTGGCATCCACTGTGCCACCAATACCAAGCTTGCAGGAGCCAGAGGGTCTTCTACTGCCTGGATGTCCCAGTAGGTTGTCATCTGTGCACAGAAGGGTTTGTAGGCAAAGATGTTATAAGACCGCTGTGATGTGCTGGCACTATTTGGCCAAGTTAAGGGAGTTAATCAGGATGTCTTCAATATAGACAATAACAAAACAATGGAGGAACTCACAAAACACCTTGCATAATGAAAGATGGCTGGGAAGATGGAGAGTACATACAGCATGACCTGGTACTTGCAGTACCAAAAGGGTTGACGAAAGCTGTCTTTTACATCTTCCAGTCGGTAAGTAAGGCAACTGGACTACCTGGGAGTTCAGTGTGTGGTATTTAATGCTCTTCAGCTGCTTCAGAATGCAGCAGCACGAGTGGTCTTTAATGAAGCTAAAAGAGCACATGTCACTCCACTGCTCATCTGTTTGCACTGGCTGCCAGTTGCTGCTCGCATCAAATTCAAAGCTCTGATGTTTGCTTACAAAGCGACCTCTGGCTTTGCCCCTTCTTATCTGCTCTCACTTCTGCAGATGTATGTGCCCTCTAGAAACTTGCGTTCTGTGAATGAACGTCGCCTCGTGGTTCCATCCCAAAGAGGAAAGAAATCACTTTCCCGAGCTCTCGCGTTCAATCTGCCCAGTTGGTGGAATGAACTCCCTAACTGCATCAGAACAGCAGAGTCACTCGCTGTCATCAAGAAACCACTAAAAACTCAACTATTTAGTCTCCACCTTCCTTACTAATCTGCAATTGCCTCTCTGGCTCCTCCACTAATTAAAAAAAAAAAATTACTAATATTCTTGCTTCTTATACTTTCTTTACAGACCTGAAACTTGCCTACAGCACTTATTCACTGTTGCTCTTATAGTTGTGTAAGTTGCTTCCTTGTCCTCATTTGTAAGTCGCTTTGGATAAAAGCATCTGCTAAATGACTAAATGTAAAATGTAAATGTAATGCAATAATGGAGACTTCCATTGTTTTTGCCCACAAAGAAGAACCTGGAAGCAGGCAATGAGATTGATGATTAAGTCCTCCACACACTCCTCCATAGCCTTGTGCTCTAGGCAGCAGCTGGATAGTGCAGTCCCATGTCTGATGAGATGGAAGATAAGGGGTTGCCCATTTACTAAAGACATCCTGTAATGCAGAATACTCTGATGCGACCACTGACATGATTTGGGTATCAGGATTCAACACTGGACGTGGGGCTTGATGAGGCAGTCTATGAATAAATGTCCAGGGGCAGCGCAGAATAAACATACTTCAGCAGGTAGGTGGCATTCAGCTTCTGTGCTTGAGACGTGGGTAAGGTACACTTGCAAGAGATCTGGTACCGGAGTACAGGCAGCATAGGAGGCAAGCTCGTGAGTGGCGTTGGAGATATGGCAAGCAGATAGTGATTGGAATAGGCAATAGGCAGACACCATTACTCAATGGTGTTGTACATCATAATAGCAGAACGAATGTTTGGGTTCAAGCTTTGTTGATAGGTTCTAATGAGCACGGTCTCGTTCCACCCACTAGCTACTGTCAAAGTCTGGTGAGTGAAATTGCCAATGGTGGATGAACCTGGGTGGAAACAGAATAAATGTTTGGAGGTCGAGAGTGCTTCTGTGGCCATACTGAAAGCTTTGAAGGATTGGTTAGCGAAATGAACAAATGTGTTGACAATAACAGGTAAGTAGCAATGGGTAAGTGCAGAGTAATTGCTTATAAAGGAAACTGATGAGGGGTGTAATTAATCAGTTATTAGGGAACTGTGGTCAGGTGTACTGGGATTCAGGTTGGGGAGGTGGCTGTGACAACGGTCTGATATTGGTATTTAGGAGTTATTATTGAAAAATCTTGTGCTAAAAGAGATGTATTGTTTTTCAGAGAAATCAAAGAAGTCTGCTGAGGTTGGACAACACCAAGAACCATCCAAAGGTAATGAGATTTAAATAAAAAAGATGCTTTAAAAACTTCTGACGTTGTTATAATTGTGAATAAAATTCATTCTGTGCACTGCTTTTATGATTTGCCCTTTACTTGCTTTCATTATTTTTCTATTCTATATGTTCTATATTATATATTTTTATATCCTGAGGATGAAGTGAAAATATGTTTTGTTTCGACTGCTAATATTTTCTTAAATACATGTGTGACACATTTACTGGTAATTTACTTAGTAGGTATTCTGTGCCATTACTGAATAATGTTCTCAGTTGTACTCGTATGTTTGTAGGAGGCAAGAATCCTAAAAAACTGCAGCCGACTAGCAAGGACTTGCCGGAACCGCACAGAACAAAGAGTAAGCTGTTTTTTAAAATGTCTTCTGAAATAAGTTGCCCTTTCTGTTTTTCTTCTAAAGTTTATTCATGTACATGCAAGGTAGACGTCACAAACGGATTTCCTTCTAGTCATTATCCATGAATTCAATCAATACTGCCTGCTCCATACTGCGGGCACTTTTATATAGGGGCAGCAGTAATATTACATATACTGTTTAATTAAAGCCTTAAATCATGTTGTTGACTCACAAAGTTGATGCAGAATCACAAAAAAGTGCTGCATTTGCAGGTACAGTACAGTAAAAAAGTCATAATTAGTCATTTTTAGCTACTGCTTTTGATCTGTCAAACCTTAGAATCTTATGTAAATGTGGTTTTCTTTGCAGCTGCTTAACTGATTTGAATGTAAACAAATAAAAATCAGTTTCTGAAATTATCTGATTTTTGATAGCATAACATATTCGTTAGCATATGAAAAGTGGCCTGCATGCATAAGCTCACAAATAACTATTAACTAAAAATTTTAGACATCTTGCTGTAATTTATGAGAATAGTTAAACTTACATGGTGACTAATTGCAAGCATTTTTTTCCTTTTATTGCTGGGTGATGTAAACATGACAGATTGTCAGCCATCAACTAAATTTTAGCAAAAATGTGTATACAACTTTAAAAACAATGAGACACACTGAAGACCATGAATTAGTTTTATTTGGTCTTTAAGTCTTTTTTTCACTAATTATGTTTTAAATTTTATTTAGGATCTTCACAAAACGAGCGAAGAAGGTGGTCTGTGGAGGAGATCAAGGCCGTGGAGAAGACAATGATGGAATTCATAATGTCTGGAAAGGTTCCTGGTAAAGCCCAGTGCATGAACTGTATCGAAAGTTCCCCAGCAGCACTTCAAAGTAGAAGTTGGGAGGGGGTGAAATTTTATGTAAAAAATCGCATTGATTCCCTAAAGAAAAAATTGTGAAAGGTAAGGACCTTCATCTAATTATTTTTTTTCGTGTTTGCCGGAAGAAAGAAAATATATTACTTAAAAAAATGTGAGAGGTAGGTGAAAGGGCCTTCACCACTGTTTTTTTTTCATGATTGTTGAAAGCAAGTTTGATTTCGTTAAAGCAAAAAAATGTAAAAGGGCCTTCACCAGTTTTGTCTTTGTTAAAGGCAACATGTATGTGAATCTTGTTTAAGCAAACTCAACATGCATCTGCTTAAAGAGCAGTATACTAAAACTTTCACGTTAAAATTTAAATAAATGTTTAAAACACTAAAACACTTCCGAGTTGTATTGAGTTTTTACATTCTCGTAAATTTGGCTATGTCTCCGTTAATTTTTATGCGTATCTCAGAATATCTAATAAAAGAAATGCTTGATAGAATGCCAAGATGCTCATACATTATTTAAATGCACATTAAAACAACATATGTGTACAACTGAGCAGGATAAACATTTTATTTTATTAAAAAAGCTAAGACTTTTTTCTGTTTACACCCTTAGAAATGGTCTATTGTAATATAACATAGAATAAACAGAGAATGCAAGATAAAAGTAAAATTCAATAAAATATAAATGCACACAATTTTCCCTTATAAATAACTCTTTAATAGTTGTCTAAATGTAATTTGTAGTCTTACAGTGACTTATTATAAAAATATGATAATATACTGGTATGTCATATTGACACCTGGTGGTTCCTTGTGGTAAGACAAAATAGCGACGTCCCCACAAGAATAGAAAAACCTGACAAAAATTCATTTTTTTAAACTTCAGAATTCTTGATAAAAAATTATTGTTTTTATGATAGAAAAATCCCCTGGACACATATGAGTTGAAATTATGGCTTAATTGTATTTAGAAATTGCTGTCCCCATATGTAACCTTCTAGTCACAAGTCCCCATGGGGCACAAAAACAAGTATGTGTGTGTGTGTGTGTGTGTGTTGGAGAGGATGTTTCTGGAAGTACAGGTGTTTCAGGAAAATCCTCTTTCAGAACTGCGACTCCATCTGCTTATTTCCAGCTCAAGATCCAGCAGAACCAGCTTTTGCTGTAGAAGAATAAGCTGAGCTCGTCTCTCGCTGAACACTGATCTGAGATCTGAGCTCTACAGCGGGTATAAGAGCAGGACTGAGTGTGAAACAGCATCATGTTGAGTTCGAGATCAATCTCTGCTGTTAGAATTAGAGGTTAAGCTGGAGCAGGTCTGGACCGGGCCTGTGTGCTGCTGCTCCACTCTTCAGTGTTGATTATTACAACCAGCAGACCAGCAGACCAGGGAATCAGCTGCAGTTTGGGGGAGGATCTGATGTGTGTGTGTGTGTGTGTGTGTGTGTGTGTGTTTCTGACATACACACTCTCTGACACACTGATCAAGTTTCTGTCGACACACACCAGCTCAGCCTGTCAGACGACCAAACCCTCCCTCCCTCTCTCTCTCTCTCTCTCTCTGCGTGCATGTGTGTGTGTGTGTGTGTGTAAGGCTCTCACGCTCTCACACACACATGAGACAGCATGAACACACACACTGACAGAAGAGCAGGCTTCATTTAATCTCTGGACAGCACGCGCACACACACACACAGCACAGGTAAGTCAGTTTATGAGATGTTTATGTGGACGTGTTTGTGTGTGTGTGTGTGTGTGTGTGTGTGTGTCCTCATTGTGTTTTGAGCTCTGATTATACACTTCACCATCACTAAAGGAACAGAGCAGTGTGCTGATGTTACTGATGATGGTGATGATGATGATGATGATGATGATGATGATGATGATGATGGTGATGGTGTGTTGATGGCGTCTCCGCTGTCGGATGTTCTGATCCAGTGTTCAGTGTGTATGTGGGCTGTCAGCAGTGTGTGTTCTGTGTCTCCACATGTGGATGGCCGGACTCTGCTATTGGGGGTGGCATTGACTGATACTTCATGTAGTAACTGGTAGATTATTGGAGATGTTGTGTTGTTCAGAAGTCTAGCTTGTACCTGAAAGTTTGTTGTAAGTGGGAATTAAATGACCCGGTTCTGTCCAGCATGAACAGTTGTCCTGGTGTCAGTAAGTGTTCAGTGTGAATAACTTGATGATCTCCTGTATTTTCAGTCCTTCATCACTCCTCTGCCTGTAGTTCTGACAGACGCAGCTCTCCTCAGTCCTCTGTGTTCTGGAATCTTCAGCGCAGTTATTTCAGTCGGGTTTGGAGGATGTTGGACA